TTGTTGCAAATAGTAGGATTTGTTTTCTTCTTATGGCTGAATAATATTCCACTGTGTATATGTACCACATCTTCTTTATCCATTCATCTACTGATGAACACTTAGGTTGCTTCCATTTCTTGGCTATTGTAAACAGTGCTGCGATAAACATAGGGGTGCATATGTCTTTTTGAAACTGGGCTGCTGCATTCTTTGGGTATATTCCTAGGAGTGGAATTCCTGGGTCAAATGATATTTCTATTTGAGTTTTTTGAGGAACCTCCATACTGATTTCCACAATGGTTGAACTAATTTACATTCCCACCTGCAGTGTAAGAGGGTTGCCTTTTCACCACAACCTTGCCAACATTTGTTATTGTCTTTTATGATGGCGATCCTTACTGGTGTGAGGTGATATCTCATTGTGGTTTTAATTTGCATTTCTCTGATGACTAGCGATGTGGAGCATCTTTTCATGTGTCTGTTGAGTTTTCCTGTTTTTTGTTTCATTTTTTTAATAACCCTGTAAAACAGATGAACATACATTATTTTACCTGTTTTTAAATTAAAAAAACACACACACATGGATTAATGATGACTGAGATTAGGTAGTAGAGCTGGGAGCTGGGAACTGACCACAGTGTTTTGGGTCCAAGTGAGTGTTTCAGTGTCCTAGGGTTATACCACACTGCTGCCTGCAACCTCCTGTAGTGTACTGTGTTACATGAGGAAGGGTAGACCACACAGTCAACTTTCTGTGATGTGTGGTTTATCATCAAATTGTGGATCAGTCTTAGCACCAAATATCTTTCTTCTAGGTCATATGCATATTTAAAATGATTAAATCTTTTCAAAGGAATTTAACCAATACCATATTGGCTTGCTTATATATTTTGTTTTAGTCAAAAAGTATATCTGTTCAGTAAACAAATCTCAGATGTTAGTACAGACTCTGAGTATGGGAGAAAAAGTTATCTTTATGACCTTTGTCCAATTTCACCACAAGTTTTACAAAATATCCCTGTAACTTTGCTGTTTATACAAGCCAATTTTTTTCATTAGCCTGTTCCTACTCACAAGGAGAAGGATGCTCATATTTACCCCTAGCTCACCTAGAATATTAGAGAAAGGGATTGCTGACTGTACATTTGCAAGCTATGTTTTAGGAGACAACTCTTTTAATCCGGGTATTCAGATGCCCCACCCAAATTAAGGTTTTGGGTATAAACAACTCTTTGGTGGATGAAGCTGAAAGATGGTCCTCAGAACAGTTACAAGTGAAGGCAGTGTTAATGGGCTTTACTATCACAACATACCCAATATACCTCGTTCCCCAAATTATGTACATATCACAAAAAAAATCTCAATATTACAAAGATTCTGTGTGGAGGGATAGGGCAGGGAGGCAGAGGAAATCCTGCCTCAATCTTTCAGAGTAGGTATAGGAAGTTTTCTTTTTTCCCATCACTTACGTTGTATTTAAAATAAAAACGTATAGTCCCTACTGTTACGAAACCAGTTGTTTGTAGAGGAAAATTTAAGTCCTGGTCCAATCTGGAGTGAGACTTCTAACTCCAGACCATTCTCAGTAGGATCAGCACCACTTGACCTCTTTGTATCTGTTAACATTTTTAAACAATCTGCTCTAGTTCTTTTAGATAGAAATTGAAAGAACTGGGATTCTCCAACCCGAGTGTGTATTGGATCACCCTGATGGTGTGGGTGCTTGTCATAAATTTAGAATGCCCCAAATTTTTGACTCAGAGGATCTGAGGTGAGGCCAGCGATCTGCGGGTTAACCAATTCGGAAAGAAACATCGTATGGCTGACCCGTCCCAGGGTATAACTGTTTACTGCCTGGTGCAACACCAAGGATTGAGCAGTCTAAGGATCACCACCATCGACACCCCATCACCATCAAGCCAGCGACGCCCCAAGCCGGGTGACACCATGTGGGGAAGTTGGGGTTCCTATGGCCAGGATCCTCACTGAACTTGAACCACCTGATGATGTGACTGGCCTGTTGCAGGGCTGCCACTTCCACACCTTTAGGTAATAAGCTATTATTGTGCTATATAGAGAGCTCGGCCCAGTGCTCTGGGTGTAGGCAGAGACGCTAGTGCTCGACCTACCACCGGAGAACAAGCCTGATAATAAACCCTTTCACCCCAAAGAACGTTTTGCTATCAATTTCTTTGGTCATACTGAATCCATAGTGAACGGGCCCAGGGCTGAAACCCATTGGCAAAACACACCAACGCCACCTGGAACCCCTTTTGGGGCCTGGGAATTGCTATCCAGCGGGCCCGCTACCCACGTGGTCTCCAGAGGCAACAAGGTCGACTGGAAAGATCAAAACAAATGTGTAAACGAATGCCTGGGCCGAAGCTGGCAAAGGTCTAATCACTCATTTTGAAGTTTGAATCTAAAAATTATCCTTAAAAAAAAAAAAAGCACACACCCCTTTACTTATCCGCTAGCAAAAGGCGGATTCGCGTCCGGGTGAAAGCGAGGGGCGGTACTTCCGGGTCAGGTGGGCCGGCTGCCTTGACCTTCCCTGCTTCTGATCGGCCATTTTGTCCCAGTCAGTTCGGAGGCTGCGGCTGCAGAGGAACCCCCAGAGTAGAGGCTGCAAAGATGCTGTCCGTGCGCGTTGCCGCGGCCGTGGCTCGCGCCCTACCTCGGCGGGCGGGGCTGGTGAGTGCGGCGAGCCGGTGGGAAGGGGGTGGCCCGGAGGCGGCTGTGGCTGCGGGTGAGTAGTGGAACTTTGCCTCCGGAGCTCTTCTGCAAGGAGTGTGAGGGGCTGTGGCGGGCACCGCCATCTTGCAGTGCGGGCAGCTGAGCAGGGCCGCTTGCAGAACGGCGCTTGTGCTCGCCAGCTGTGCAGTATGGTGCAGAGTGGTACAGGGGAGACAGTGACCTCGAACCTCTGCAGACACGGGGCCTCCGGAAGATTTCCATTTTTGGCTGAGAGTGGCCTTAGGTGAAGGTCAAGGTTTGCGCTCTATACCTGCTCCGAAACGGCGAGACTTGGGCCCGCTAATTGTCCGGGACTCCGTAGCTATAGGGCAGAGCACTTGTCAACCCAAGTTGAAGCGAACTAGGGAACCCTGACATTGTATGAAGGTCAGCGCGAGCTCCGGCATTTCACCTCTGCTCGGA